TTTTATTTCATTTTGGAGAATCAGTCACTCTACAAAAGTACTACAATCAACAGCAAATCGTCAATTAGTTGTTTTGGGGTTTTTTTTAAGGTTGTATTTTCTAGAAAAATACACTGTGTAACCATCTTTCTATTTAAGATAGAAACAGGACAAGGACTTCACCAGCAGCACAGGCATAGAGACTGCCACCAGTGGGTTTTGTAGTTCTATCGGGAAAGGAACAGGATAATAAAACTCAGAACCTTGGGCGATGTGGTGCTCCAGGCTGTGGAGGAAAGTGCTCTCTAATAATTCAGGCTTTTTTTCCTTGTCCTTTGAAATAGTAACTTTGTCTGCTATGTTGTACTCTACTTCTGGTTGTCTCTCTCTACTTCTGACCCAGTGTTATGGGTCCTTTTTCTCTCCTTCGTACTTCATGTTAACAGTTCTGTTGCATGAGCAAGTACACACTGCCACTGGGTAAGCAAACTTGCTGCATGTCAGTTACTTTGTGGTAATTTTAGATGTAGGTCACTGGGTAAAAGACTGGTGAAAAAGGTAAGTTATTGCTACATTCAGTAGGTTTTCAGGTGCTTTTGTAATTGATGCATCTTGTTGGTTCCAGTTTCCGGATTAAAAATATAACCACTGTTATATTTCATCCATAATCAGGCCATCAGTATGCAGTAGTAATCAGAAGTTCTGTTCACCACATTACTTCGAAACTTGTGTATATTTAAGTCAGCTATAAAATCGCATATACATTTTTCAATAGTTATCATTTTTGCTTGATGAGGAAATCAGTAGCACTCTTGGTAGTTTTTGAATTGCACTCTCACATCCTGTTGCTTTATGAGATGGAAAAAAAAATTAAAGTAGTTATATATCATATTTTACATATATATAATTATATGTAATTTATGTAATTACCCAAGATGTACCAGTGGCAGAACGACTTTATACGTGTCTTTTTTTCTTGTATACAATCCCAATGCAAGCTTGATTTGAAATAGGATAGTGAATTAGCTGAGCAAGGTAAGTCTTCTTACGAGTCATAGAACAAGTGAGGTTGGAAAAGACCCTTGGGATCATCGAGTCCAACCATTGACCCTGCACTACAAGTTCACCCCTAAATCGTATCACCCGACACCACATCTAAACGACACTGAAACACATCCAGGGATGGCGACTCAACCACCTCCCTAGGCAGTCTGTTCCAGTGTCTGACCACTC